AGGATGACTTCGATTCCGCTGACAGGGGCATCGAAAGCCGGAGAGCCAGTTGTGAGGCGAGGGTTGGAGCCACCCTCCGCCCCCTTCGCGCCGACCACGAAGACTGTCTTCTCGCCCTGCGCGCCAACAGCCGCCACGCCCTTCGTGTCGACCACTTTCGTGCCCTCCACGACGACCACCTTCGCGCCCTCCACGTCGACCGCCTTCGCGCCCTCGACGACGACCGCCTTCGCGTCCTCCACGTTGACCGCCTGCGCGCCCTCGACGACGACCGCCTTCGCGCCCTCCATGTCGACCGCCTTCGCGCCCTCGACGACGACCGCCTTCATGCCCTCGACGACGACCGCCTTCGCAACGTCGACCGCCTTCGCGTCCTCCACGTTGACCGCCTTCGCGTCCTCGACGACGACCGCCTTCGCGTCCTCCATGTCGACCGCCTTTGCGCCCTCCACGACGACGACCTTCGTGCCCTTCACGCCCTCCACGACGCCCGCCTTCATGCCCTTCACGCCCGCCACGACGCCCACCTTCGTGAGCTCCTTCGCGCCCTCCGTGTCGACCGCCTTCGCGCTCTCCACGATGACCACCTTCGTGCCCTCCGCGCCGATCGCCGCCACGCCTTCCACGCCGACCGCCTTCGCGCCCTCCACGTCGACCGTTTTCGCGCCGCCGACGGCCTCCACACCCTTCACGCCGACTGGCGGCTCGCCCTCGTCGCTGAAAGTGTCCTCCAGACCCACGTAGGTCTGAAGCAGGTTCTCGAGCTGGGAGTCAGAAAGGGATTCCATGGGCGCGTGGCGCGCCGGCAGCATGTATGGGCTACGTCCTTCCTCGACTGGTAGCTCGATCAAAAAAGCGTTCGTGCAAAAGCAGGCAAAAAGGAAGCACAAAGTCAAGCGGCGCTGTAAGCAAGCTGGTGCGCCCGGGCAATGTCAAGCACCATGTCGCGCACTTTGAGGTCCTTAATTGGCATGTATATACATGCATGTGAAAGTTTGTACTATATATGCATCATATGTGCGCGCTTCCCCAAAAAGGCAATCGATTACGGTTTATGACTTTAGCCGGAAAGCTCGAGGGAGTTCCCACCGTTGCCACTTGCGCCGGATATGGTAGAGCATGCGCTTCAAGCAAAATGCAGTTGCATGTGCCAGAAGGCGAACACACTCGCCAGGCGTGGAGTCGGAACCGCACTCATGGTAGAACTGGAGCACTGGCGCGCGGATGCGACCGATGTCTTTCGTAACCACAAACCCCTCAGATGCCATTTGCGAAGTGTACGCGCGAAGAAGCACAGCGTTGAGCCTCATGTTCTGGAGCGTTGGAAGGCATTGCACCTTGTTTTCAACATCGACCACTAGCAGCTGCGAATTCACAGCGCGCTTGCGAAGAAGATCGCAAGACTTCCATTGCTGCACGCACGCTTCTATGAAGCTGAAACTCATGGTGCTCGATCTGGGCCCACACTCAACGAGTTAAACTGGTTTGAACGCAAGCTTGGAAACCCTGGCAGCAGCTGCGTGGGAAAGAAATCGGGCCTGCAATGTGCAGGAGAAGCGCCAAAGCGCAGCGCACACCTGCCATCGCCCATTTAAGCTTGTTAGATTTTCAAGATGCCACAAGCAGGCCAGGCGCGCCGCTCCACGCCATGATGAAGAGCGTCACATGAGCATACAGGCGGCTTGCACTTTGACCCCTGTGTGCAACCCTGTCATGCAGTGCTCATATTTCGACCTAAGTCGATGCATATTGCGGAAAACTGCCCGGTCGGCCGAAACCGCCCGTTTGACCCAAAACCGCCCGCCGGTGCAAACATCCAGAAATAAGTGACCGTCAAAGGCCCCAGGTACCCAAATAGTTGGACTTGGTGGTTCCCCTTTCAAAACCATCTACACGGGTGCCTGCATTTGGACAACCACAATGCGTTACACAGAAACTAGAGCTGCTGTCCCGTGGAATCGTCAACCTACTGAAATGTTTGTTTTTGGTTCGCTCAAAAATGCAACCAGGTCCCCTGAAAGAGGGATCCCCTTTGCCACATCCAGCATTGGAGTGCTCAAGTTGTTTTGTTCCCCCTGTTGGTTTTAAAGGGAGTATATCGTTGGGAGAATATCGGTTTTTTGCCAGCCGATTTTGCCAGGGGACTTAGCAACTGGAGGAAAACCCGCGGGTCGAATTCCTGTTGTACTACTGGTTGCAGTACCACTGCTTTTGCCTTACTTCCGTTGTTTTTTTTGCCGAGGCCATAATTCCGGAAAACTCGCCCAAGTTGCCAACGTGGGGTGTCGAAGTCGGGGTTCCATTTGGTTGCCCTTTAAGCCAACTCCGCAAATGGCACCCACATGGCAACGAAATTGAATAGGGAACCTCAAAAGTGGTTGGTGGACAGAAATTTCACCAAATGATGTCCACTTAAGGGTGCGGGACCCTGAGGCAAGTTCTCCTACTTCTATCACGACGCGTTGGTTGAGGAGCAGAGTGGAGCCATCGCGCTGCGTTAGGCCTGGAGTGACAGCTTTTTCTCCACATAGCGAAACCCTGGTGGTGAACTTAGCTCAAGGGGAAGCAAGTATCCTTTCAGGATATTTGTACAGATCCAATCGCACACGTCGTTTCATGTTGAAAGCCTCCTTTTGGTCAGGGCTTGATCATACTCTAAAGGTGGGTGTTTGGAGTTGGGGTTTTAATTTTGGGCCTTGATTTTTGGCCAGCCCTGCTTCGGACACTGGAAGGGCTAAGCACTAGCCGCAGCCACTCGGATGGGGTTTTGGTTCTATCGAGCCAAAGAACATTGGGTTTCAGTCTCAATTGAATCCTTCAGGTGAAGACCTCCCTGGTTATGGTGTCCTTTGGTTGTCCGTGGCAACCCCACATGAATATGCGCGTAGGTTCAACGTCAGCGCCACTCTTCCTTGAGGAACCCACAAAAGACAAAACGGGTAGACAGGTTCCCTTGCAAACGTCGAAATCAATCAAAGGCAGGGACGAGCCCTGTCTGTTGGTTTGGTTTTGGTTTGGGGTTGGTTGGTTGGTTGGTTGATTGGTTGGGTTGGTGGGTTGGTAGGTTGGTTGCTTGGTTGCCTGCTTGCTTGGTTGCTGGGTTGCTGGGTTGCTGGGTGGCTTGGTCTTTCCCGTGTTTTCTTTCTTTGGCGTTCTGCTTGCGTGCTTGCTCGCGCCGCGCGGTTCCGGAGGCCACCGAAGGCCTGAGCTGCAGCTGCCCGCGCGATGGGAAAATGTGGGGAGCGCGGTGTGTCAGGGTGACCCCCACTCCAGGCTCGAGGCTGGCTTTTGACCAAAGTACCCATGGACCCAGGTGAAACGGCCTCATGATGTTATGGCCGTTTACGGCCACTTAGGCCAAAATTATTTTGGGGGGTGGCAGCGCCCACATTGTTTCCACTTGTTTTGGTTGGTTTCCGTCCATGTCAGATCAACGTGACGGGTGCTTCCCGTACTGGGCTTCCGAGGTGAGGATGCTGGTCATGTTGAAAAATGCAACTGATTTGGAGGATCCCTTTGTGAATCTGGCGTGTTTTGATGCTATCTTTTGGGCAACCTCGTTTGTGTCACCGTTTGGCCCATGAATCGCAAAGATATTGTTTCCGGGTTAAGCAAACTAGCAGGACAGGCCAAATCGGAGCCATGCACGGCCTTCAGAACTCTGCGTCCTTCGTAGCTGAAGGTTCCCTCGATTAACAGTTTTGTTTTGGGACCGCGTCCATCGGGAAGCAATCAGGCGTTCACAGTCAATGCCCCAAAATGTGCTTTTTGTTTGTTTGAAAGACATGGCTTTGGGGGCACTCTGTTCATAACCTCTGATCCCTGCTATACTTCGCAGGGTGGTTGAGGAGTGTTGATCTTAGGGGATGATGGGGGCGTCAACAAAAGCTGGAAAAGTTCCAAAGGGAAGCCAAAGGCAAACCTTGCCTTTTGGGGGCAGTCCCATATTCCAGGATTTGGGGCGGAGTGAAGATAATTGACCACGAAACGCAACCGTCTGAAATTGGGTCTTCCCCAAGGGGGTCCCCAAGCTCTTAGGGGTAATTAGCAGAGATCAGAGGAATCTATGAACGGATGACCCCAAACCCGTTTCCTTCAAACGGAAAAGAAAAGCTAGCTACTTTTAGGCTAGGGCCCCCAGTAGGGCCCTTTTACCCCTTGTTTGGGAGGAGCGTTCCCCTACTAAAATAGACTACCGAAAAAAAAAGAAAAAAAAGGTATACCCTTATTCTAGCCTCTCTACTGGAGGATCTAGTTACGGAAGCGTCATCACTGGGTCTTCCCCATGATTCGCCCCACCCTCACCAGGCCGCCCAGGTGAGCGAATGGGTTTAGTCAACCACCTCTTGGCCGGATGGTTATGACTGGGACTTTGCGCCCAGGTTCAGGTTTTTTACCGAGGGGAGTGGGGCAGAGTCATGCCCAAAGGAAAGGGTCAACATGCCAGAATGGGATTGAGTGTCACCCTAGGACCAACATGCCCACCCCCCTGCTATGGGAAAACCCAATATGCCTTTGTTTCTAGGTTCGATGTAAATCCCCTTCGGTTTCCCTGAAGAACCGGAAAATTCCGCTGGGTTGCCTGCAGTCCCCTAGTACACCAAGGTGAATGACCATGTGAATGGCTTCGATCAAATGACATCATCATCATCATCATCATCATCATCATCATCATCATCATCATCATCATCATCATCATCATCCTTTGGTGCAAACGATCGGACCCCCCCTTGTCTATGTTATATGGGGTCCAATATGAGGTCTCGAGTCTGAACATGTTTTCTTCGAACTACACCTCTGAACAACGCATAATGCGTTCAACCACTTCCATTTGCTGAACACTCTCTACGTCAACCTGTTTCCCTTGTTGGGTTGTAAAGCGAAACAATCTTCACCACCGGACATGTTGCACCGGTTCAGCAACGCCACAATTGTCTGAACTTCCCAACCCCTGGGTTTTAAAGCGAATCGATTTCGCGGGACTTGTCGAAGCGGCTGAGGCTGGGCCTCCGTCTCCGGGGTGGGCGCGTGGCGCTTTTGAACACCCTCCAGCTGGGCTTGAGGTGAGGGCGATGGGCTCTCGTGATTCCGGCGGCGGCTCCCGGGGCTCGCTGGCCTCGTGTTGCTCGTCTTCCTTTTTGGTTTTCCCCCATTTGTTTTGATAGGGGGAGTGGGTGTTTTTTCTCCTCAGAAAAGGGTCTAGCAACAAAAGGAAGAATGTCCCCCATTTTCCCATGTGTGTCCCCATTTTGGGTTGGAGGAGTGGAGCTTTTTCTCAGAAAATGGTCTACAAAGAAAAGGGGACAATTTCCCCATGTTCCCATGTGCTCTTCCCATTTTTTGGTTGGAACTCACATGATGCACATGGCTCCGATACCGATTGATTGAATCCGGAACCAATTCATTCCAGCGATCGGCACGCGTTGGTTGATCAAGTATGCATAGGGAGAGAACGGCAACTGGTGCAGTTGTTTTACTCAACCAGCCAGTGGACACACTTTACACTTTTTTCCTTGGTGGCTCTCCTTTTTTACGAGTGGTGGCCCAAAAAGTGTACACTCTTTTTTGGCTGGTCACTGGCCAAGCGAGTTTCGGCAGAGATTGGCAGTTTGTTGTTTTGAGGAGATGGACCAACCAAATTGTGCAATGTCCGGGGCTCATGTCGCAGGAAGTTGACTTGGGGAATGGATCTGGGGTTCTTCCACAGCTTGCTTGGGTTGACAGTCCTTGGAAGGTGCTGTCAGTTTGCTGTTCGTTTGCTTTTCGTTTCCAGACAAGTTGTTTTTCTTGAAATTGGAAGCTTTCGGCAAAGTAGATGAAGACCTGGTCCCGGAAAAGCTAGAACCCAGGAAAGCGATCCACGCGAAAGCATTCCTGAAGACATGCACAAAACCATCCCCAATAGCCTCAGGACAAAGCATTCCCAAAGACAAGTCCAAAAGCATATCCGAAGACATCCCCGCATACATCTCCAAAGGCAGCCCCAAAGACATCTCCTGAGACATCCCCAAGACATTCCAAAAAGCACTCTGGAAGACATCCCAGAAGATATATTCTCAAACTTGTTCCAAAGACACATCTCCAAAGACATCCGCAAAAGCCACCCTGAAAGACACAATGCAAGGGCCTCCAAAGACAATCCAGGGAAATCCCCAACCGATTTTTTTTGAGACCGCCCAAAGACATCTTCCGAGGCATGCCCCGAAGACACCCACAATGACAAACCCCTGTAGTTGCCGTCAACAATACCAGTTGACAATTTTCCCGTCATCCACAACACCTCTCCCCACAGGAGGTCCCCAAATACATCACTCAAACGGAACAGACAACCCCCGACACCCTCAAAAGACCCCTGAAGACTTCCAGACCCCTTCCAACGACATCCCCAAAGTCATCCCCGAAGACATCGCCCAAGACAACCGCAACGACATCCCCAAAGACACCCAAAAGACAGCCCCAAGTCACCCAGAAGGGCATTGACCAAAGCAACCGCAAAGACATCCCCAAAGCTACGGCCAAAAACATTCGGGGAAAAACACGGCCAATGACACTTTCCAAATAAACTATGTGGAGTGGAAATCTGGAGGTTCAAGGAATATTGGCCCCCTGTTGGATCCCTCACATCATGGCGAATTCTCGCAATTGATTTGCCAAGACAGGAATGGCTGACACTAGCCTCGATCGCGGTTTGCAAGGGTGTGCCCAGATGTGCTCCGGAAGGGCCACTTCCATTTACTTAAGACTATGTGTTTTTGCTTTTCACCTGTTGTTTTGTTGCAGGGAATCGATTTCACCATGGGAACTATGTTTGTTTTTCCCCATTTGCTCGAGAATCTGTTTTTTTTCTCCGGCCTGTTGGTTTTAAAGGGAATGATATATCACTACGTGTTTTTTCCTTGACTTCAGACAAACGGGCCACTTCTGCGTTCTCTCATCTTTCAGGGGGTCCTCTATGAAGCGACCTGCGGCCATGCCAGGCAGAGGGTGCTGGCAAAGCTGTTAGAAGCCGAGGCGCGAGGTGGCAACGGGTACCGAGATCGCACCTAATCGGAGAAGGAAATGAGGTCAAGCCCCATGGAAGGTATTCACCATGGAAAGAAGTGCTGTTCTTTCTTTTTTAAAGCGAAAGAACCGCCAACCTTTTCAAGAAGGTATTCATCCTGGAAAGACTTCCTTTGAAAACAAAAATACCTCCAAAGTGGTGATAGGCAATGTCAGTTCCCTTCACCATTCTTTTTTTGTTTAAGGGGTCTCTGGGGTCTACTCTTGTCATGATATCGTAAATTGCGAAGAGGAAAATGGATGGACTTGCTGAAGGCATTTGGATTTGTCAATTCAAGGCAATCAGAACTGCAACTTACAAGAAACTCAATTGAAGTTCAAACTGTTTGGGGTTGCCCCTAGTTTGCTTACAATTGGGGTTGGCAGGGTTGACAACTGAATTCATATTGTCGATTTCTATTTTGGGGTTGGGGACGGGAGTGTGAACAAAGCATGTTGATTAACGGGGTGCCTGGTGCAAAGTGATTTGGGCAAAGTCGCGCCGCTTGGGCTGTCAATTGGTGCCCTAAGTGCATTTTGGGGGATAGGTTAGCAGGTGGGCAACCCATTTCAGGTCTGAGCAGGTCCTTCCTTCAGCCCATCAAACTCAGGTGACCCAATTTGGATGATGAAGCTTAGGTATGGAATGGGGGTTGTATGCACCCCCATTGGTTTAACGGCGGTACTTGTATCTGAATTCCAGGGTTCAGTCAGCTTTCAGCTTACCCTTAGTTGGTGGTTTGGATTGGCGGAATTTGGCGATTTGATCCCCTTGAAGAGGGTCAAAGGGGTTCTCATCCTGAACATGACCACCAATCCATCCAAGCAACGAGAGCAAAGCTGAGAGATGTTCTGTGCAAGAAGGCTGCTCAAGCAACGGCTTTTCCAAACAGCTTGGTCAGTTCAGAAACCCCTTCTCAAAAGAAGGCCAACAACTGGCTCTCTCGGCGTGAAGCTTTCCTTGACCCAGCAAGCTGTTCCGGAAGTTATGCTTGGCATGCGCGATGTGTTGCATGTTGGCTCCAGGATGTTTCACTCATCCTTGCGGTAATCAGTCTAGGTCCCCCAGTAGTGCGCTTTTACCAACTTTTCTCGGGCAGGGTTCCCCTACTAAAAAAAGACTGCAGCAAAAAAGTGGGTACACTTATTCTATCCTCTCAAATCTGGAGGACCTAGCAGTCGCTGGTTTCCCGAGCTCACTTTATTTTCGAAGGTATCGGAAGCTTGCCATGTGGCTGTGGCTCAAAAAACCGGTACCAAAATGGAACCTTGGTAAGTGGACACATGGACCAAAACCCGCGTAACCCCTCCAGTTTAATTTTGAGCCACAGCCATGTGCCTTCCCGCACAGCACATGGTGACTCTCGTACGTCCCTGCGAAGACTTTCAGTGGGTGAGCCACAAGAAGATCCCGGACCAGCAGGAGGCAGGATGGGGCAATATTTTTGTTTGAGCAACCACGCCCACCTTTTCAGAAAAACCAACAAAGAGCATGTTGAAACAATATAGGCCAGTATAGGTGCTAACACCATGGCTATCAGGGTTCCATACTGTGGATGGACGAAATCCTGCACCACCAAAGAAGCCATGAAAACCAGTGTTTGTTGGTATTGACAAGTGAATCATCATTTCAGGGTTTCTCACATGGTGCAGGATTTTGTCCATCCACAGTATTCCTCCTTTTGGGCCAGCTTAGCCCCCCCTTTGGTTGGTATCGCAAGGGAAACCAACTCAACAGCAAGCATTGTAGGGAACCCCTACTTTAATCAGGATCCCTTTACTCCGCTAAACAATTTGACACGCTCGAGGTAGACTTGCGGGAGAGTAAACAGGGCTCCCAATGTTTGCGCTTATCCCTCCAAACGGAAATTCACTTTTGACAAACGGCCTAATGTGAACAACTGCTGACGAGAAGGGTATCGCATCGCCACCTTCTGCAAAAATGGACTTGGGGGTTTGTCTGCCTGCTTTCGCAGATGTTCGCCATTTGGCGCAGCTCTCTGGCTCTCTCTCGTGTCTCTCTTGTCCCTCTCTCTGCCTCTCTCTCTCCATTTTCTAGGGGGATAGATCTGAATGGCCCCCCTTTCCCCATCGGCCTTGGGATCCTGTGGTATCTATCAGTTTTTGGGGATTGGTTCCATTTCTTTGGTAGGGGGAATTTCTCTTTGGGGGATAGATCTCACTGGACCCCCGGCCCCTCTCGGACCGAGCTCGGACCGAGCTCGGGAGCTCGCGGATGCAAGGAGTTCAAGCGAGAGCTGGGCCAGGGCCTGGCGGAGTGGCTGGGCTGGAGCTTGTGCCTCTTCGGCTCCTGGAAGAAGATCTGCCAGAAGGTCTTGGAGCAGCAAGAGGCCAAAGCTCACGCCTCGCCACGTGTTTTTTTACTTCCATTTACTTAAGAATATATATATATATATATTTCCGTAGTCGTTTTGGCTCAAGCCATTTTGGCTCAAGCTCAAGGTATACTCGGTGAAAGTGCTCAGTGAAAGTGCTGACTAGAAAGGGGTTCGCACCCGTGCAAATGCCATGGGCTCATGGATGTTGTGCCCACACTGTGTTTGATTGCGGAGAGGCCCTGCCCAGCCGATGTCTCCAGGACTTGGACTGCTCGTGGTCGAATGCTCACTTCATGTTGATTTTTGGTCTTCCTATGTTTTCTTGGTCGATCTGCGCAGCTGGGACGTTGGTGCGGCACGGAGTTTTAGTAGATGACAACTTTTCGAGAGGGGTTCCATTGCAGCTTGGTGTATTCTGGTGGTGGACTGGTTACGGCGTGCTCATATTTCTGCAGTGTTGTATCTGGGGGCATTCTTGAACTCGTCTACAGCAAGTTTTCCCGACCTTGCAGCAGGGCGTTTACGAAGATTTGGAGGTATGAGTGTTTCACAGTTTCTCGAGGCGGCAACTTCGCCGGCGGCGTCCAGTTTGAGCTCAAAGAACAGTACCATTACAGCTTGGCATATTCTTATTCCTGCAGTGTCGTATTTGAGGACATTTTTGCACTCATATACACTTCACCAGTGGCGTCCAGTCTACTTTTCGAGACTTTCCATTGCAGCTTGGTGTTTTCTGGTGGTGGACTGGTTACGGCGTGCTCTTATTCCTGCAGCGTTGTATCTGGGGGCATTCTTGAACTCGTCTACAGCAAGTTTTCCTGACCTTGCAGCAGGGCGTTTACGAAGATTTGGAGGTATGAGTTGTTTCGGCGGCAACTTTGCCGGCGGCGCCCAGTTTGAGCTCACAGAACAATATACCACTACAGCTTGGTGTATTCTTGCGGTAGACAGGCCACGGCAGGCTCATGCAATGTCGTATCTGGGGACGTTTTGGCACTCATCTACAGCATGCTTTCCCGAACTTGCAGCAAGGCGTTTACAAATGTTTGGAGGTCTGAGTTGTTTCACAGTTTCAAGAGGCGGGGCCTGCAACTTCGCCGGCGGCGTGCAGTCCGATGTCACGGAACAGCCAGTGGATGGGACGTGATGGCAGTCATCGCGTGTTTCTCGGTTGTACAGGCCTCCGACCGAACGCCGTAAATCGAACGCAGTTTCTTTACTTTGGCAACACGCTCGGACCCTTTGTGAAGCTGTAGCAGGACATGTAGCCAGCTGCTGGTGCCAATTCCCGCGCCCCAAGATTCGAATTCAGCCCGATGCACAGGAGTTTCGCTCGCAGGCAACTTGCTATGCGCGTTTCAAAACGTGTCGGACGAACTTTTGTCAACCGTTGAATTTTTATTTTCGCACCTTGTGGCAAGGTCCCTGAACGTTTGCTTGTTTTGTGCTCCCTTTCCTCTGGCCTTCTGCTTTACTTTGTTGTGTTTTGTTCTCGGAACTGCTTTTGCCGCGGACCTTTTCAGAAGCAGCGTCAGGGCATTGAGCAGTCAACTCGTGCCATTTCTCACCCCGAGACCTGACCCGGCGTCGGCCGCCACTGCGCATCACGTGCGCGTTTTCTAACATGTCGGACGAACTTCTGTCTGACATTGATTCCCAGGCTTCGCACGGTGTGGCAAGGCCCTTGAACGTTTGCCCGTGTTGTTTTTGGTGTCTAAGTGTGCCTGTTGTGGTTTTGTATTCCAGAAGAATTCCTTTCCTTTGCCAAATGCGCGACCATGCTTCAATTGCATTTCACAGCCTCGCAGTTTGCCTAGTCCAACTTATGACCTCATGCACAGGCACAAAGGGGGGCAGGGACTTCTCCCCCCACTTGTTTACAGTTTGAAGCTTTGCTCTCCGAATGTCACTCCAAGCTCATGAATTTGGGCTCTGCTTGTGTGATAGTCTTCAAGAAGACCCTTATAGGTTTGTTCTCCGCACAGTTTCCCAACATCCTCGATTCGAGTCCTACCTTCCGAAATTTGTCTCAAGCTCACGAATGTGGGCCGACTTGCATGTACGATCCGCATGGCGAAGCTTCTTTATAGGGCCGGCTTCGCACCCCGCACAGTGAGGACCCTTTATAGCGCCTCCCACTGAATTCGCTTCCTACATGGTGAGGACCTCTAGGGCTGTTCTCCCTGTCCCTGCTTCGTCTTGGTGTCTTTTGGGTGTGCTCCCGGGTTTTTCACCATTGTGCCTCAGGGTGTCACGTCAAAGCCGTTTCACCCAGCTTTGGCCAATGGGCTCACCCGGCTGGTGCGCGTGTCACGTGTGGCTTCGTTATATTTATATACACCTCACTGAGTTAGTAAAAGGGAGCTTCTTCACCGTGCTCTACCCCCTGCATCACTGCATGCACATCGAGTACATGGAGCTTGAGTGCCCCCTGCTTTCTGTGTGCTGCAGCTTGCTAATTTTAGCATGTTGGAGGACACAGCTTTGGGGGGGTCGGCGCTGCCTTGCTTTATGTGCATGGTTTGCATGTTTCATATTTATCCTCACCGGAATTTACGTGCTCAAACTAGACGGACTTGCTGCCTCCTTGGAGGCAAGCACAATCTTTACCAACTTTTCTGCCATTTGCCA